GCTGGGCACTCTCCGCCATCCTGTTGCAGGTTCAGACATGTTTGAGGCATCCAACCACCAAATTAATCGAATTGATTAGACTACTAATCATCCACGCTAATTACTTACTTAATCAATTAATTATTAAGTACGCAAATTAATTAACCCTTTCACCGAGCCGCCCCTGGTAAGGGTGTGGATAGCTCTTGTCACTTGAAATCTACTAATTAGTTGATTAATTAATTTATGAGTCCGCGGATTAATTAACCCTTTCACCCATTCCCCTGCGATGTGTGGATAGCTTTTGTCATTTGAAATCCGCTAATTAGTTGATTAATTAATTAATGACTGCGCGGATTAATTAACCCTTTCACTCACCCCCTCGGGATGTGTAAGTCGTGGATATATCCCCAAAACCGCGAAATAATTGATTAACCCGTCAATCAAACCGCGAATTAATCAACCCGTTCACCCACCCGACCCCTCTCGCGGGGGCCCTTTGGCCAAGTCTCCGCTAAAACGTTCCAGAACCTACTAATGAATTTGATAATTAATCAATTAATCAATAATTAAATCAATCAATAATTAATTAATTAACGCGGATTAATTAACCCTTCCACCCACCCAGCTCCCTCGCGGGGGCCCTCTGACCAGGTCTCCGCCAGACCGTTGGGCCAGAACCCCCATTACTTAACTACTAACGTAAGAGTCAGTTCCTGATCAATATCGCAAACGCCAAGCGAAAATTTTACAAGAATATTTCCTGAGATCTTATTCCGAGTTTCCTCCTATACATCGAGATATTTTTCAAAAACTAATAAATGACATACACACGAAATTTGAAAAAAAAAACAAAGACAAAGTTCATGAAGTCCTCAACAAATAATTCTTTCCATTTTTTCAGAATCTCGAAGTAACATCTAGAGGCCAGGCAAACCATATCCTGCAGATGCTTCAGGACTACGAGAGACACATGAAAGTCGTCCCCGAGGATGATCTAAGCCCCAAAGTTCGCACTGCCGAAATTAAATACACAATCGGTATGATAATGAAGCACAGGACATACGAATATTTCTGTGTAATTTCAGGATGGGATAAAAAATGTGAAGCATCCCCAGAATGGATGAACGAAATGGGTATTGATGAGTTAAACGATGGAGTCAATCAACCATTTTATTATTTATTCGTCGACGATGGATCTTCGCGTTATGCAGCTCAGGAGAATTTAATCATTGCACCAACACCGAAGTGGATTAATCACGATGATGTTGGACGGTATTTTTATAAATTCTGTGGTGCCTATTATCTACCAAATGAGGAGAAGGAGAGAGAGTATCCGGACGATGGGAAAGTCAGGGACCAACTCCTCAGAATTCAACAGTGATTGGAGCATTACTAAGTAGAAATAGATATACCGGACGGTTCCTGCTCCCATCCCTATTGGGACATTCGACTTCTATTCTACGCCCAACATGAGAAGGTTTGAAAAAAAATGATGACATTGATTCTAAATTTCCATATAATGTTCATAATGGTCGTTAGATAGGCCCGTACTTTTTTTTTCAACTCACACTAATCTACATTGTCAGCACAGATGCTGATGAACGCCCATCCACAAGAAAGGACTAAATTTAAAGGTATTAGTTTAACCTTCCAAAAATAATGAAAGATAAAAAAAATTGTTGTCAATTGTAAAAACTTTCATATTATGACATTATAATCGAGATATTTTCTATCGGCTATAACTTATGGTCTTTTTATTTTTATTTTTTCGAAATAAAAAGTACGTGTTCAACATTTTATATTGAACTTACATATCCTTCAGCAGAAAAATTGCATATCAAAGCCCCAGTACCACGACAAACCTTGCCCAGATTATCATTGACCACAGACCTGATGATTCTGCTAGAATAGTGGCGGAAAACCTTCAAAAAATATTAATGCGTTTGATGAATGTCGTGAAAGGCGTGTTCATGGGCTGAATCTAGTTGTTATGAGATGATGAAAAACCCCGGAATATTTATCTACCATTGATCAAACGTTTGTGTTGCACGAACTATTTTGAAAACGGTTTGAAAAAGAAAAAAAATCTCGCAGAAAGAATGTTTGCCTTGAACACCTGAAAAATTTCTGTATTTAATATTTTTGTCTTCATTTGTTGAAGAATTAATCAGTATTGACCATTGAAAAGTAATAAATTCAGGATTTATTTGCAGTTTCGAGTAGTTATTTCTGGTGATGACGCGTTGAAAAATGTTGAGTATAGAAAGTTTTTAGTTTGTGGTGGCGAACCTAGTATTCATCTCGAGATTTTTCTTTCGTCTGCGGCCGTCCCACTTAGAAATGGACAATTGATGAAGAGAGATACATATATTTGTATTATTTAACATTTACTAGAGTTCTCTACAATGCATATTACTAACAATAAATATTATTATAATATTGATTGTGTAAGACACCTAGTCTACTCATTGTAAATAGAGTCCTGGATATTTATTGTTCATTGTTGACTCGCAGCAATAGAAATTCATTTGGAGATACAGAAAGTGTAAATAGAAATTAATAAAAAGAAGTTCTTTCTATATGAAAATTGAATGAAAAAATAACCATACAAAATATGTAATCCATCAAGTAATTGTGAATTTCTTGAAATTACTTAGAAAATTTATAAACATGTTCAATTAAGGAAAAAAAATGAATGAATGAATACGAAAATTGACTTGTGTTTTTAGTGTATTGTCCAGTTGTAATTATTTTTTTTTTAGATTTTCGCTTCTCTATGTTTGAAAATAAATAGGGAAAGTATTTCATTCTGAATAGTCGATATTCTGCTCACTCTAATTAATTCTTATAACCTAGGAATTTGATCCAATCAATCATAATTGATGAGAATTTTTAAAAATCCGCAATATTTATGCGTATCTACCGTCTAGGACTTTATTCCTATCGTCGAATAACATTTTTAATGACTGAAATAATATATAATACCAACTTGAAAGTTTTTAAAGTAAAGAGATCACAACGAAATTTCTTAACAAAATACTGTTTTGGTGCATTGACAGAATCATGAATATTTGATTATTTCAATCTAGATTTGACACTTTTTACTTTATTATAATTTATTTTTCCTCTTCTTCCGATTTATCAGATGTATTTGGAATCTCAGTTTCACTCTGTTTTGTTGCTCCTTGACTATTTCTCGTGCTCCTCCTCTGTTCATTTTTTCGTTGAAATGGTGGTGGGGCCCAGCTGAAGTTTACGACGTCAGTGGCTGATTCTATTGGGGATTTTGAACATGAGGATGAAGCAATTGTACTTTGTAAAGATCTACTAGAGTTTGGGGGACTGCTATCTCTTCCTCCTCCCAACCATAGATTCCTTCTGTGAAACAAGACCAAATTTTTTTTTGTTTCTCATTCAGGGATAATTCCATTTGTATTATTTTTGTTAATATCTCATTAAGTGAAACAGATGGAGGGATCGTAATGAACTGAAATGAAATTGTTCCTGAAAAAAGGCCTGAGGTGACACCTCACGTGAGTGAAAAAGGGTGAAGGACATTTATTCATACTTCGATAACCGATTTTTTAAATAAAAATTGGTTACAACTGTAGTGAGAAAATTAAATGGGAACCATGTTCTTACGCATGATCTCTTCTGAGATTCATTTTCAAAGTGATAATTTTATGTCATTAGGCCCGAAAAAACCGCGATTGTAACCTCGGTTCGCTCGGTTAGATCGCGGTTTTCGGGCCCAACGACATAAAATATCGTATGTCACACGGCGATAAAAGCATTATCTGGCGAATGTGATTATAATCCTCGCCTTCGCCTTGGATTATAATGCCACATGCGCCAGATAATACTTTTATCGCCTGATGACATAATATACTATTTTTACTTGATCGCTCAAGACATAAAAATGAAGGAACACGTAACAAGTGGATAATCGCATTTTCTGTACATGGGTATATTTTATATTGCTAAAAAATTAGCAATATGCTTCCGAATGGATTCTCCATTTTTGAAATTTATTACTCTTATTTTTATAATGTTTTCAATAGTGACATCCTGTGACGAAATTCCAGGCGAATTCGTCACCTGCGGAACTCCAGGGTATTTATGTATAGAAAG